GAACCAAAAGTCAAAATACAGCATACACATCATATTTTTTACCCTCTCCATGAAAGTCATTTGACCACCTAGTCCTGACAAAATTACAGGTACATAAGAGGGAGGAACTAGAAATTTCCCACTGTACTTTTCCATTGTGTAGCCAGGAGAGAAGCGAAGACTGTACAGAAAAGGGATATGGAGAAGTTCAGCTATCAACTCCCCACAGGGAGCAATGGCATCTGAGAAAAGGACATCAAACTTGGATCTCTGCAGTTTTGTTATAAGTTGTTTGTTTGAAACTGTTTCTTTGCAAAGCCTTAGATAGGTATCAGATAATTCATTAACCATGTTTTGTAGTGAAGGAGAGAAGGATAAACACAAATCTCTTGGTACCTCATTAGTCCATACATCCACAAACTTTGTGAAAACCTTGACCAGATCATCTTTACTGACAGATGTAGGAAAACTCTCAAACTTCAGACCAGGTGATTTTTGGGGATCAAGAAAGATGGACGCTGAAGATCTCAGAACTGTCACTTCATGACCCCTCTGTACAAGTTCATCCAGTATTGTCTTTAGATTCAGCCAGTGACTGTATTCCAATGGCCATACCAACACCTTCCCACAGCTCCCAGATCTGAAGTAACAACTCATCTGTAGGAGCAGCAGGACAGACATCCACTTCACAGTCATCATGGGACATCAAATCTTCTGTCTCAGTGTGTCCCCTGTGTCATCGCTTATCCTTATATCTAAGGAGAAAAGGCCTTGAGTTAAAATATAACCGAGGTTGACCAAAGCAAATGCAGTAAATGACCACATTGAACTTCTGTCTAATGGAGATAGTAAAAACAAATATTAATTATTCATATTTGCATCTCAGTGTTTAATGACAAATGTTTTGTAATGAAGCAAATTCAAGAGTCCGTGACCTGTTTGCATAACTGTTCTTTTTCTAAGATATTTGCACAGTAGCAAGAACATTGCTTAGCGAGAGGTTAGTCAGCAATTTCTTCTCAACAAAGAAGCCAATATGAAGTACTGGCATAGCTTATAAGTATTTCTTATT